CACTTTTAACTGTGATGAAAATCGACTGTTTTAACGCGTAATGAGGCAGAGTGGGCTGACCTAGCTAACCTAGTTAACCTAGCTAACCTAGCTGCGGTGTTAGCCTCATCTGCACTTCCTGCTTCAAACTGCCGTTAATGTTTACTCGCTGCTTTTGTTTCATACAGACTGATTAATTCAGGAATAATAAGAACGACTTAATATCAAATCACTCTACACCGAATTTACGCTAAACTAATAGTGCCCAGCTCTTCAGACACACTGCGCTGAGTTTGTTTATAACTATAGACGCTCAAACTGGACTTTTAATTAGATCATTTTTAAACGTTTTGTGGTTATTTACCTTATTAAGGAGTTTATTGTTGTTAATTTATAGTATTTACAAATGAACAAACCTTAAATATGAAATAAACCTTTCTATTTAATTTATTTTGTTATGTATGTTGATTATTGTGTGTGGTCATGGAGCTGCTGTGTGTTCTGGGTGTTAGTGGCTGGTAATGAGATTAAAGGGCGCGTGTTGAGTTTTACACAATAACTGACCTGTTTCTATTGAGGCACAGTGATGCTGAGTTTCTTAAACAGTGCAGTGGAGATTGTTGTTAACGAGGCTGATATTTCCAGTTTTTCGGATTATCTGCTGATTTTACCCGTGGTAATGAGATTTGGCTTGTTCTGTTCCACAGATTCAGTTCATTTAGTTGTTACTCCTGTTTCTCTACTATTGTAATAATCAGCCTGCCGCTGCTTCACGAGGCCTTTATGTATTTTAATTAAGTAATACACACACAGTTTTTAAAGACTAGCAGGAGGAAATTAAGAGGGTAAGTGACATAATGTGATGTGCTTCCTCATATGCAGCCTTTCCAACATGTGCAAGTGCAGCTGACCAGATGCTCAAAATAACAGTGCCACACATAAAAATGCACAATGTCTATGAGTTCATTTTTCTACTTGCAAAAATAAACAATTTGTTAAGAAAGTGCTGAAAAGACATGACGGTGGCCTTTCAGACACAGAGTAAAGAAAAACACCTTTCACTGAGTTTTTGTTATCCCTGATGTGAATAAAGTGACTGGAAAAAAAATCTGAACACTGTGGGGAGGGTTTGTAAGATTGTGACTGTTGGTGTGTTTGGTGCCGACGGTGTTGCTGGTGTGTTTGGTGTGTTCAGTGCATTTGGTGCTGATGGTGTGGTTGGTTGGTTGGTGCTGATGGTGTGGTTGGTTGGTTGGTGCTGATGGTGTGGTTGGTTGGTTGGTTGGTTAGTTGGTGCTGATGGTGTTGGTTGGTTTGTTGGTTGGTGCTGATGGTGTGGTTTGTTGGTTGGTTGATTGGTGCTGATGGTGTGGTTGGTTGGTTGGTGCTGATGGTGTGGTTTGTTGGTTGGTTGGTTGGTTGGTGCTGATGGTGTGGTTTGTTGGTTGGTTGGTTGGTTGGTGCTGATGGTGTGGTTTGTTGGTTGGTTGGTTGGTTGGTGCTGATGGTGTGGTTTGTTGGTTGGTTGGTTGGTGCTGATGGTGTGGTTTGTTGGTTGGTTGGTGCTGATGGTGTGGTTTGTTGGTCTGTTGGTTGGTGCTGATGGTGTGGTTGGTTGGTTGGTTGGTGCTGATGGTGTGGCTGGTTGGTTGGTTGGTGCTGATTGTGTGGTTTGTTGGTTGGTTGGTTGGTGCTGATGGTGTGATTTGTTGGTTGGTTGATTGGTTGGTGCTGATGGTGTGGTTGGGTGGTTGGTTGGTTGGTGCTGATGGTGTGGTTGGTTGGTTGGTGCTGAGTGTGGTTGGTTGGTTGGTGCTGATGGTGTGGTTTGTTGGTTGGTTGATTGGTGCTGATGGTGTGGTTTGTTGGTTGGTTGGTTGGTGCTGATGGTGTGGTTGGTTGGTTAGTTGGTGCTGATGGTTGGTTGGTGCTGATGGTGTGGTTGGTTGTTTGTTTTGGTTTGTTGGTTGGTTGGTGCTGATGGTGTGGTTTGTTGGTTGGTTGGTGCTGATGGTGTGGTCTGTTTGGTGCTGATGGTGTGGTTGGTTGGTTGGTGCTGATGGTGTGGTCTGTTTGGTGCTGATGGTGTGGTTGGTTGGTTGGTTGGTTGGTTGGTGCTGATGGTTGGTTGGTTGGGGTTGGTTGGTTGGTGCTGATGGTGTGGTTTGTTGGTTGGTTGGTTGATTGGTGCTGATGGTGTGGTTTGTTTGGTTAGTTGGTGCTGATTGTGTGGTTTGTTGGTGCTGATGGTGTGGTTTGTTGGTTGGTTGGTGTGCTGATGGTGTGGTTTGTTGGTTGGTTGGTTGGTGCTGATGGTGTGGTTTGTTGGTTGGTTGGTTGGTGCTGATGGTGTGGTTTTGGTTGGTTGGTGATGTTGGTTTGTTGTGTGGTGTGGTTTGTTGGTTGGTTGGTTGGTGCTGATGGTGTGGTTTGTTGGTTGGTTGGTGCTGATGGTGTGGTTTGTTGGTTGGTTGGTGCTGATGGTGTGGTTTGTTGGTTGGTTGGTTGATTGGTGCTGATGGTGTGGTTGTTGGTTGGTTGGTTGGTGCTGATGGTGTGGTTGGTTGGTTGGTTGGTTGGTGCTGATGGTGTGGTTGGTTGGTTGGTTGGTGCTGATGGTGTGGTTGTGTTGGTTGCTGATGGTGTGGTTGGTGTGTTGGTGTGGTTTGTTGGTTGTTGTGCTGATGGTGTGGTTTGTTGGTGTTGGTTTGGTTGGTTGGTGCTGATGTGTGGTTGTTGTTGGTTGTGTTGGTGGTTGTTGGTGCTGATGGTGGTTTGTGGTTGGTTGGTGCTGATGGTGGTTGTTGGTTGGTTGGTGCTGATGGTGTGGTTGGTGGTTGGTTGGTTGGTGCTGATGGTGTGGTTTGGTTGGTTGGTTGGTGTGATGGTGTGGTTGGTTGGTTGGTGGTGCTGTGGTTGGTTGGTTGGTTGGTGCTGATGGTGTGGTTGTTGTTTGTTTTGTTTGGTTGTGTTGGTGCTGATGTTGTGGTTTGTTGGTTGAGTGGTGCTGATGGTGTGGTTGTTTTGGTGCTGATGGTGTGGTTGGTTGGTGTGGTGCTGATGGTTTGTGGTTGGTTGGTGCTGATGGTGTGGTTGTTGGTTGGTTGTTGGTTGGTTGGTTGGTTGGTGCTGATGGTGTGGTTTGTTGGTTGTTGGTTGTTGGTGCTGATGGTGTGGTTGTTGGTTGGTTGGTTGGTGCTGATGGTGTGGTTTGTTGGTGCTGATGGTGTGGTTTGTTGGTTAGTTGGTGCTGATGGTGTGGTTTGTTTTGGTTGGTTGGTGCTGGTGGTGTGGTGTTGGTTGGTTGGTATGGTGCTGATGGTGTGGTGTGTTGTGGTTGGTTGGTGCTGTGTTGGTTGGTTTGTTGGTTGGTTGGTTGGTGCTGATGGTGTGGTTTGTTGGTTGGTTGGTTGGTGCTGATGGTGTGGTTTGTTGGTGCTGATGGTGTGGTTTGTTGGTTAGTTGGTGCTGATGGTGTGGTTTGTTGGTTGGTTGGTTGGTGCTGATGGTGTGGTTTGTTGGTTGGTTGGTGCTGATGGTGTGGTTTGTTGGTTGTGGTTGGTGGTGCTGTGGTGTGGTTTGTTGGGTTGGTTGGTGCTGATTGGTGTGGTTGTTTGGTGCTGATGGTGTGGTGGTTGTTGGTTGTTGGTGCTGATGGTGTGGTTTGTTGGTTGGTTGGTTGGTGCTGATGGTGTGGTTTTGGTTGGTTGGTTGGTTGTTGGTGATGATGTGTGGTTTGTTGGTTGGTTGGTGCTGATTGTGTGGTTGTTGGTGCTGATGGTGTTGGTTTGTTGGTTAGTTGGTGCTGATGTGTGTGTTGGGTGTGTTGGTTGGTTGGTTGGTGCTGATGGTGTGGTTTGGTTGGTTGGTTGGGTGCTGATGGTGTGTGTTGTTGTTTGGTTAGTTGGTGCTGATGGTGTGGTTTGTTGTTGGTTGTTGGTGCTGATGGTGTGGTTTGTTGGTTGGTTGGTTTGGTGCTGATGGTGTGGTTTTGTTGGTTGGTTGGTGCTGATGGTGTGGTTTGTTGTGTTGGTTTGGTTGGTGCTGTGGTTGTCTGATGGTTGGTTGTTGGTTTGGTTGGTGCTGATGGGTGTGGTTGGTGGTTGGTTGTGTGGGTTGTTGTTGGTGCTGATGGTGTGGTTTGTTGGTTGGTTGGTTGGTTGGTGCTGATGGTGTGGTCTGTTGGTTGGTTTGTTGGTTGGTTGGTGCTGATGGTGTGGTTTGTTGGTTGGTTGTGTGTGGTTGGTGTGGTTGGTTGTTGGTGCTGATGGTGTGGTTTGTTGGTTGGTTGGTGCTGATGGTGTGGTTTGTTGGTTGGTTGGTTGGTGCTGATGGTGTGGTTGGTTGGTGCTGATGGTGTGGTTGGTGCTGATGGTGTGGTTTGTTGGTTGGTTGGTTGGTGCTGATGGTGTGGTTTGTTGGTTGGTTGGTTGGTTGGTGCTGATGGTGTGGTTTGTTGGTTGGTTGGTTGGTGCTGATGGTGTGGTTTGTTGGTTGGTTGGTTGGTGCTGATGGTGTGGTTTGGTTGGTTGGTTGGTGTTGGTGTGGTTGGTTGTGTGTGGTTGTTGGTTGGTTTGTTGGTTGTTGGTGCTGATGGTGTGTTGGTTGGTTTGGTTGGTTGGTGCTGATGGTGTGGTTGGTTGGTTGGTTAGTTGGTGCTGAATGTGGTTTGTTGGTTGGTTAGTTGGTGCTGATGGTGTGGTCTGTTGGTTGGTTTGTTGGTTGGTTGGTGCTGATGGTGTGGTCTGTTGGTTGGTTTGTTGGTTGGTTGGTGCTGATGGTGTGGTTTGTTGGTTGGTTGGTGCTGATGGTGTGGTTTTGGTTGGTTGGTTGGTGCTGATGGTGTGGTTTGTTGGTTGGTTGGTTGGTGCTGATGGTGTGGTTTGTTGGTTGGTTGGTTGGTGCTGATGGTGTTGGTTGGTTGGTTGGTTGGTTGGTGCTGATGGTGTGGTTTGTTGGTTTGTTGGTTGGTGCTGATGGTGTGGTTTGTTGGTTGGTTGGTTGGTTGGTGCTGATGGTGTGGTTGGTTGGTTGGTTGGTTAGTTGGTGCTGAATGTGGTTTGTTGGTTGGTTAGTTGGTGCTGATGGTGTGGTTTGTTGGTTGGTTGGTGCTGATGGTGTGGTGTGGTTTGTTGGTTGGTTGGTGCTGATGGTGTGGTTTGTTGGTTGGTTGGTTGGTTGGTTGGTGCTGATGGTGTGGTTTGTTGGTTGGTTGGTTGGTGCTGAGTGTGGTTGGTGTGTTTGGAGCGGTTATTATTATTTTTTTAGTGTTGTTTCACTGAGCCGAGTCTGTGTGTGTGTTTGTTTGGTGTGTTTGTGTGTGTTTGTGTGTGTGTGTGTGTGTGTGTGTGTGTGTAGATGATCTGAGTGAGCTGTTGCTGGGTGAAGCGAAGCTGCACCAGTACCTGAAGGAGAACCCTATAAAGCAGGGTTCCAGCCCCCGCGGGCAGCGCCCCCGCCTGGCCGAAGTGCGGAAACACCTGACGGCTGCTCTGGAGCGAGGGAACCTGAAGGTGAGAACTTACAGAACCCAAACTGTGGAACACTGATGAACAGCTGCAGCCTAGTTATTTATTTAATCTATTAATCATTCAACTATTATTTAATTAACAATCAACCCCCCCTCCTCCCTCTCTCACTCCCTCTCTCCCTCTCTCCCTCTCTCTCTCTCTCTGTAGCCGGATTATCAGCAGGAGGCGACTCTGCTGATGGGGAAGCTGTGTTATGTGGAGGGAGATTACCGAGAGGCGCTGAACCATTACAGTCGTGTTAATCTGGATGAAATGCAGCTGGTCGGAGCTCCAGTTTACCGGCTGTCCATGATCGCTGAGGCTTACGCCACCAAGGGTCAGTACTGCGTGCCTCTACAGGCTGGACGGACCTCAGGTCCACTCAGCGTCCACTCGGGAAAATCTCCGGTTCACACAGCGCTTAAACCCAGACGTCCATTCAGATTTATGATCATTAGCAGAGGTTTGTGTTCGACATGGCTGATTTACAGGTGATGCTCACACTCCGCCGCACTCCTGCTAATGAGGAGTGTGATGGACACTGAGGTGTTGGCTGTGACTGCAGCAGCTCTCTGCTCCCTCGTTAGCGTCATGCTGTTGAGGAGTGAACTGTTTATTAATCAGCAGCAAAAACTCTTTAATCAGTAAATGAACTTGAACACACTCATCATCAGCCTGTGCCAGTATTACGGCTGCTACTAATGATTGTTTTTATTGATTCATTTAGCGATTCTCTTTTCAGTTAATTGATTACTCTAATGATTATTTTATTTGTCAGATTAGAAAAATACCAGAACTGAAATTCAAAAGGACTGTTACACAGAGATTAAATTAATGCCTGTATGTCATAGGAACCCTTTACCTGAGCTGGAGCATCATGTAGATAAATTATCATTCATATTAAAGCAGAAACGTTTTTTTAAAAGTTCAGTTCTGTAAAAGTCTAATCTCGCAGTTCCTCACGGCGACTCTGACAGCCTCCAGACCGACACTCTTCACCTTCAGGAGGTCAGAGGAGCTGAGGTTCCTCTGACGCTCGGTGCTCTGAGATGTTCAGCCCTTTTCGCGATTTGCAGTGCAGTGATCTGCAATGCTGAGCAGCTGCTGCTCCTCCGAGTCTCAGTGCCGTGTATCTCCTGCAGGTCTCTGTCTGGAGAAGCTGCCGGCCGCCTCTCCATCTCTGTCCAGCCGCCCCACTGACCGAGACCAGGAGATCCTCACCTGCTACGAGAAGTCTGGAGATATCGCCCTGCTGTACCTGCAGGAAGTGGAGAAGGTTAGTTTGTAATTTGATTTTGATTTTGATTTGATTTTGTTTGTGGTGCTTCTTTATTGATTGAAGCTCAGAGAGATTTTTAATCCTTTTAAAATAAGTTTCCTTCCTTTCATTTAAAAACACAGCTGAACAGTTAGTCAGACAGAAACCATCACTGTCTAAAGAACCAATTAATTTATTCATTCACTTATTAATGTATAATTTATATTTTTATAGCATTTTAGTGTTTTTTTTTTTTTTGCTATTTTTTCTATTTGAAGAAGCAGCTGCTATTTACTGTGTGGACTGATGGAGACTTTGTTTTAAGAGAGATGAAGTTTTTAGCTGCTCATATAAATTTAATATTGGAGGTTTTATGGAGTCGGTACTGTGAGTGTGACTGGATCAGATCCCTGAACAGCTGCATTGATCAGAATACAGACAGATTTAGACCAATTACAGAGCGACTGTAAACAACAGCAACCACTAACTGCAAGAGCTGTAGAGTAACAGTGCATCTGATTGGAGAGCAGCCTGTTATGACATCATATTATTCATTCATTCATTCGTTCATTAATTTATTCATTATCTAAGCCACTTATCCTCCTGGGTCGCTGGGGGAGCTGGAGTCTATCCCAGCGCACATTTTTTCCTCCTGTTTCTTCTTCTTTATTTTTCATGCACTGAATTGAATAAATCTCAGCACTGATTATTCATCTTTTTTAAGTGTAGCTGCTGGATTTTGTTTAAGATTCT